CTGCAGCCACGTGGTCATCTCTTCACACATTTGCTAAACATTACAAATTAGACATACTGGCCTCGGAAGACACAACTTTTGGGTGCAAGGTGTTGCAAGCAGTTGTGAAATGAGTCCCGCCCTTAGGGAATTGCTTTGGTTATCCCTGTTGTAAAGCACTGCCTCTAATCTGAAGGGAAAAGCATACATTTTTTACGTATTGTAAATTTCATTTTACTGAAGATTAGAGGCAGTGCTCACTTTCCCCCCCTGATTTTCTAATAAATAAATTAATAAATTAATTTTGCAGTTATCCGGCTTTTGTATTGTCTGGGGTTCCTAGAGGTAAGAGGCACTTTATAGTGCCAAAGGCAATTTGGAGGAGGTGCTTAACATTTTGGGTGTGTGCTACTGTCCCTTTGTCTCCCAGATATGGAAAGCCTGCCACTCGGCAGAGGGACTTCCCACCCAGGATGATATGGGGGTCTTCATCCCATGAGCCTCTGTGCCTGGGAGCCAAAGCGCAGAAAAAGACAGTCCCTATGTCTCCCAGGCCCAGGAAAGTTTGCCAAACTAGCTGGCTCCCTAAAAGTGTCCCCACCAACCCCAGGCGACCTCACACTGGCACATTCTCCGGGCAATGTCCGTTAACGAGATTCCTGTGCTGAAACCTGCAAGGGAAGCATCTCATTTCGGGGTACGAATGCTCCCCCTGGTTGGCGTTCGTCTATACAAATGGCAGCCACCGAGGGGGGGGGGGGACTCAATTACTTCCCTTGCAGGTTTCACACTTATGTTGCCTGTGCTAACATTCTACTTACTTGGTGGGAGCATTCTAATGCGGCCATGGGGTTGTCCTTGTTCGGGAGACGAATGAGTCAGGAAGCAATCACGAATGCTCCCCCTGGCTGGTGTTCGCCTGTACGAAATGGTAGCCACACAGGGGAGCACTTATTCGTTACTTCCCTTGCAGTTTCACAACTACGCCTGAGGTGAGAATGTTCTACTAGCGTTCTAAATGGGATATCGTGGTGGTCCCTGTTCAGGACTCGAAGGGGTTTCTTTTGTAGGAGGGCTCCCGAACGAGGAGCGGGTACAATAGAAGAAGGGGAAAACACATTATAAGTATAAAGCACCCAAACAAAAGATGGTTCCGCCGCTATACATATCTCATCTAAATAGTGTTCCTGCTGTATAGACTTGTTAGCTTTGTGTATATATATTGTGCACTCTGTGCTGCATCAGTTACTGACAGATGGTTGGAAATACGATGTTTCATATTGCTACACTTGTCATGCAGTATCATCTGCTGGTAAGTCCTGCAGGATATGAGTTGTATGGGTTTGCATATTTTGTCCAAAAACCACATTATGCTCCAGCTGCGTGTTCATTCCTTCTCACACTATAACATGAAGGCAGGAGCTAATTTTTAGTTGCTAGTAACAAGTCTGTCTTGGTCTGATTTATAAAGTATTGTGAGAATTATTTTTTTTTACTGGATTTAAATGTAAACCAGAACATTCCTTAAACTGGTGAAGGAGACATTGCTGATTTGATAATGAGATCAGGAGGGTGCTAGGATCTACAGAATATCTTTTATTGATGAGCTGGTGATTTTGGGGAGTGGCTCCAATTGCACATCCAAGGGTTTGGTAAAAAGTGCAAACAGGAGAGAAGAAAAAACAACCTTAGCAGCTGCCCTGTAAAATAGTAAATGGTCTAGATTTTGCCATCGTCATCTCAACTGAGACGGACAGGTCTGTTTATAGAGTGCTTTTATGGTATTTAGAAAGAGGTCAGAGAAAACATATGCTTACTGGGTTAAGTCTGTATCATCAAAAGGTTTTCTCCATGTCCAGGGAAAGTAACATAAGAACCATAGCCATAAGAGCCCTTTGCCGCGTAGATAATGTTTGATGTTATTGGGCCCTAAAAGGGATAAACACTACTTAGTGTGAACCAGAATTGTTTCTTAGTCTCTTCAGCGAACAGTTTAAAATTGCTATTGATTAACAAAATTGGATGGTAGCTCTAATACTCATCATCTCTCGTTTAAATCAGTTTGACATGTAAACACTATTACATACAGTACTTAATGTGAAAAATACACAAGCTTCCCAAAGCCAATCTTTTTAGAATTTACAGCAACCTTAAAACCATATACCACTGAATCCATCCTAGAGGGAAATCACTTTTAATGAAATGACTCCATGTGGCGTAAACAGTGTTTCAAAGGTTGTCACAAGCAGACATGCTAGTCCACATTTAGCAGCAGTGCACCTTTGGGGAAAGGGAAGAAATTAATTAAACCAATTTTAATACACCTCTAAGGATTTTGGTGAATTAACTAAACTTAAGGTTCCCTAGGCTGATTTGTGTATGTCTTGATAACATATACTGGCTACTGGCTGCTCACTGTTTTTTGAATGTTCCCCAAAACACTCATTTGTTTTTGGAAAAAAAAAATGTATTTACTGTTAATTCCAAAGGAGGTAAATATGTGCTCATTTTTATGATAATAGTTGGGAATATATAGTTATTTTATGTTTTCAGTCCAGTCTCTGACTGCACTTTAAATGATATTGTCGGTGTTGGGATGTAATTATTAAAATAAGGGTTTTCCAAGTGCCGATGCACCTTTATGTAAGGGTTAAATATCTACCGTATATCCGTGTTATGTAGACAACAAGGAGATGTTGCTTTTTAAATATAGATAAAGGGTTTATTAACGTGTGACTGCAAAGCTGACAAACAGGGTTACATCAGGCACTTGAAGGGAGTAGCATGCAGTAACAGGGATGTAACCAAATGTAGCAAGATGTAAAATTGATGTAATAAAGTCATAAAAGTAAAAGATGCTTGTTTCCTTCTAAAACACAAGATGTGATGTATAACAGGCCAGTAGTGTAATCTTGATTATCTGGGGCATTGTATATAAGGTCTGTGAACTTCTAAACAAAAGATGACCTAAAGGAACACTATAGGGTCAGAAACACAAATGTGTACTCCTAACCCTAAAGTGTTAAAATTGCTATCTGCCCACCCTTATCCCCATAAATATAGTAAAATCTTACCTTCTTTGCAGCGCTATGCTATAAGAGTCTACCTGCACTGGCCCTGCCCCTAATCCACCTCCTTGGAAAAGCATTATGATTGGCTGAGATCATAAATTTTGATGATCTCAGCCAATCATAATGCTTTTCCAATGGAAAGCATTGGATTGGCTAAGATTATCAATTCTGATGATCTCAGCCAAGGAGGTGGGCTGGAGGTAGAGTAAAAACACCACCCTGGTCAATAAGCATCTCCTCATAGTGATGCATTGAACCAGTGCATCTCTATGGTAAAAGTTTAGCGTCTCCATGCTGAGCGAAGCAAGTCTAGTGACCCTCTGAGAAATAGCCATTAGAGGTGTTCCTACTCTTTCATTCATCTTTCTGTGGAACAAATTAATAAATGAAATTCCTGTCCGAATTTCAGAAAATAATGAATGTCCAAGTGTTAAACTTGGCATGCGCAGGAATTTCAGAGCACTATCTAGTATGGGCTAGATATCAATGTGTCTCGCAGGGCCTTCATCTGCACACGCAAACATGGCGGCATCTAGGACCTAGACTGAGGCAAAAATTAAACTGATAGAGAAAGATGAAATTGGGGACCTGGGGCAATTGGGGTGACTAGGTGGACAATCAAATGTAGTGGAGCCGGGAGGGGGTGTTAAAAAACATACAAACGAATACACCATGACAGTGCCGCTTTAAGGAAAAGCACAGCTGCCCCTGTGACATATTGTAATTAGAGGTGACCTTATAGCTACATTAATCTTTGTAATTTGCTGCAGTTATGATTTACTGTAAAATTACCCTAAGTTATGCACTTTCAGTGCTTCTAGTTGTAAATAAGGCAATGTAGGCACTCTAATGACTTTATCTCATTGAAGTGGTTATTTTGCTTAGACTCCCCTAGTGACATCCCTCCATTAAATGTTAAACCATAGCCACCATCAGCCACGCTCCCACTAAAAATATGACTGAGACAGAAATTACCTACCACATTAGCCATACTAATTCATATCAGCAATGGGCATCCACGGCTCAGGACATTCAGTTGACATTGGCCCCATCACTGCTTGGGCTAACTGAGCCAAACAGCATAGGGGGGCCTGGATGCAGCTGACTGGTGACTCTTATTCAGCATTAAACTATGAAATGGTTTAACAATAAACAGAGATAGGACTGAAGTGAATCACCATAATCAGGGCCGTCTTTAGCGCGGGGCAAACGGGGCAGCTGCCCCGGGCCCAGTTGCTCCTGGGGGGGCCCCAGAGCAGCTGCCCCATGGGCCCCGCGATTTCAGCAGCCCCCATGTACCAACTAAGGAGGCCCCCGGGTGGCCCATGCACTAAGGGCCACCCTGTGGGCATGTGGCAGAAGGGGCCCGGTCGGGCGCTATGACGCTTAAACAGCGCGACCTGGCCCCTTCCTGTACCGGCTGGGAGGAAGTGAGTACTGCGTGTCACCTCCTCCCACCGGAGATAGCCGCGCGGGAGGAGGAAGGCAGGGAGGAGGGGAGTTCCAGAGAAGAACTCCCATCTGCCTCAGCCTGCCACTGGACCCCAGGGAAACCACCCTTCATAAAAAGGTAAGAACCTGGAGGGTGGCTAAATGTATGTCAGTATGTGTGTGTGTTAGTATGTCTGTGTTTGTGTGTTAGTATGTCTGTGTGTCTTAGTGTGTTTGTGTGTTAGTATGTCTGTGTGTCTTAGTATGTCTGTGTGTCTTAGTATGTCTGTGTGTCTTAGTTTGTTAGTATGTCTGTGTGTGTGTGTTTGTTAGTATGTCTGTGTGTGTGTGTTTTAGTATGTGTGTGTGTGTGTGTTAGTATGTCTGTGTGTGTGTGTTAGTATGTCTGTGTGTTAGTATGTCTGTGTGTGTGTGTGTTAGTGTGTGTGTGTTAGTATGTGTGTGTGTGTGTTAGTATGTGTGTGTGTGTTAGTATGTGTGTGTGTGTTTTAGTATGTGTGTGTGTGTATGTATGTCAGTATGTCTGTGTGTGTCTATGACAGACATACTGACATACACACACAGACATACTGACACATACACACACACAGACATACACACACTGACATACACACACACAGACATATACACACACAAACATACTGACATACACACACACATACTGACCATACTACACACACAAACATACTGACTAACACACACAGACATACTGACTAACACACACAGACATACTGACATACACAGACATACTGACATACACACACAGACATACTAACACACCACACAGACATACTAACACACACAGACATACTGTGTGTATGTCTGTGTGTTTGTATGTCAGTATGTCTGTGTGTGTATGTCAGTATGTCTCACTGTGTTCCAGTGTGTGTATGTCAATACGCCTGTCAGTGTATGTGTCTGTGTGTGTCTGTGTCAATATATCTGTCAGTGTATGTGTCTGTGAGTATGTATGTGTTTGTGTGTGTATCAGTATGTCTGAATGTGTGTCAATGTTTGCCAGTATATATTTTTGTGTCAGTGTATGTGTGTGTCAGTATGTATCTGCAAATGTTTTAATGTGTCTGTGTGTGTATGTGTCAGTATGTCTGTCAGTGTGATTGCGGGTTGGGCGTAATGGGGAGGGAGGGTGCAGTGACAGGGCCCAGGGGGCCCAAGAAAAGGCTTTGCCCGGGGTCCTATTCATATTATAGACGGCCCTGACCATAATCACTTCAATGTAATGATTATAGTGCCTTGTGTCCCTCAAGACTAATCATGCAAAAACACGTAATCCAGTTTATTCTCCAATTTTAGATATCACTTTTAAACAGTAGAGAAAGAGAACCTTTATATGAAGCCCAAGGGTTCTCATGACTTCAGTTGTGCAGTATGTAGAAAGTATTCAAAAATAAAGCAAATGTCCCATGTTCCTTATATTATTTACAGTATACATTTGAACACTCACACACACTGCCCTGACTTGTGTGTCTAATCTTCTGTACCAACTTATGTCCAGCCTTGCCATGCTCAATTTGTTAATCAAGACAGGACATCACCGCCACACTCCTGTTGTCTCCTACCTACTTCAAATGATCTGTGGTTTTAGTATCCTGCTGTCAAGCCATGGACCACAGAGCTGTAATGCAATATCGTTTCTATCAAATACAACCTCCATAATTTGGAGGATTGGATTGTGCAATTTCCAGCCAGTAGCAAAAATAAGTAGAGCACTATTGAAACACTCCTCCTACCACCCCCTCCTAGTGTCTCTATGCTGTTTGTATGTGTTTTTGTTGTTGTTTTTTTTTCTTTCATGGTTTTTACAGTTTTAGGCTCATTTGCTCTACCCTCTCTTCTACTCTCAAGAAACAGTGGCAAGATATTTAAAAGGGGAACCATGCAATTGCATTTAATGCATAAACACGTGATATGCGGCTCACACCTGTACCTTCTAGTTCTCCAGAAGTTTTACATCCATAGTAGTTTTTCTCTGTGTTGCAGTAGACTCCCTCCCCCCTACCATCTTGTGCAAACCTTAGTTATAGTAAATTCCCTGCATTGAACACTAAAGTGTACTTATATCTTGTTTATTTTTGCAACTGACACAAATGTTATCCTTATCATTCAGTATACTCTTACATTTACAAAGGTCATATTTTTCTGTATCCTTCCATATATACATACACTAAAAGGAAAGTCCATTGTTTTTCCTTCTTTGGAAAATACCTTTATAATTGTGAATGCGTTATAGTAATTATTTTGGGCACCAATTGACTGAGCAGGAAAATTTGGAAAAGAACAGGCCAGTGTGTATTTTACACCTTGCATTGTAAATGTACCTTGCTGAAATATTTCCTTTAAAGGAACACTGTAGTCACCAGAACAACTATAGCTTGTTGTATTCTGGTGAGTATTCATTCCTTTCAGGCTTTTTGCAGTTAACATTCTCATGGAGACGCTGAACTTTCCTCATAGAGATGAGGAGGTGCCGATTTGCCAGGGCTGTGTTTGACTTGTGCTGGCTCTGCCCCTGATCTGCCTCCTTGACAAGTTTAGCCAATCCAATAGGAAAACATTGTGATTGGCTTTGCTCAACACTTCTAATGATGTTTACAAAGCAGGCACATCAGGGGCAGAACCAGGAGCAGCAGACTGGAATAAAAGTAAGAGTTTACTATATATAGGGGGCTAGATGGTGTTTTTAACACTAAAGGGTCAGGAATACATGTTTCTGTTCCTGACCCTATAGTGTTCCTCTAATGATTGGCTGAATCTGGTGGTGTTCCCAGCCAATCCTTGATCTCTCAAATCATACATGGATTGGAGTAAAATGGCCTAGCAAACGCCAAAGAACAAGCTTGCTTACTAAAAAAAACAAATCGTGATCCTGTCTACTTGTATTTCCATTCAGCTACAGCTAGGCAGCTTTTAACCATTACTACTGGTTTATAAGTTTCAAGCATAATTTAAATATCACACAATGGGTAACAAACAATACAGTTTATGTGGTGCATAAGGGCACTATATTTTCCCTTAAAACGAGTGTGTCTTCAGTACTGAGCAAGTGGTGTATAACTGCACTTGAAGGTAGACAAGCAGATTAATCCAGAGTGGAGACAGAATGTCAGGTTTGCATATCCAGTTTTATACAATATTTGCTTTGGTTCTTTCCCAGCAAATAGTGAAGTAGGGTTAGAGTAATTAGATTAGATGGTGTGAAAGGTTGTACTGTAGTAGACTGCTATAGGGTGAGGAAATTGCTAGGGTTTTATCTACATTGTCATTGTGGGTTTTATAAAGGACTGGTTCTTGGGGCAGTTTGGAAAGACAATGTAAGGAAAGAGGAACTGTGATAACTGTAATTTTTGCACAACCCTATAGCTGTCTAAACATTACCTATGTAATGGGTTTTTTGTTTTTTTGTAATTTAGATTGTATACCTGGATGTCTGGGCACAATCAGGGCACACTATGCATATTTGAATAAACCCCCACAGTACCATTCTTACAGGTTCATACTGGAGTGTGACACTATGAAAAGACTGAGTGTGCAAGCACTCAAAAGGCATTTCTGGGTAGGTGATAAATAATGCTAAACTGTGCTCAGAGCATCATAATGTGGCTGTATCGAACTGAACCATGTAAATGCTGTGGAGTCAAATATGTTTTATTTTTACTTGCCCGTGCTGCTTATTCGTCCCAGTAAACAATTCAGTAGCTTTTGTAGAGGTTAGAAAATAAAAAACTGCTACTTCCAGAGAAGTGACAATTTCTCCTTAAATAAGACTGTTATACAAGACACCAATAAAGTTAAAGAGCTGTCAGTTTATCTTGTTAGGTCATGTTAATGTTTAACCTGCTGTGTGTGCTTAGTGTAAATAGTGCTGTCATTGACTTTTTTCTTTTTTTCTTTTTTTTAAGATTATTTGCATTTGGGGTGCTGGTGGAGCAACCCCAGGAAAGTTCCTTCTTGGTCTCCGAGTGGTCACGTGTGACAGTTCTGTGTTGATTGCTCCAAACAGAGTCTTAGTTATTCCATCCACAAATGTGAATTTGACTTCGTAAGTACACATCTCATTAAAATGCAGATCCATAGTAGAACCAGGGATTCCAGGTTGTAGTATGTGCAAAAGACTTGAAAATAAGAGCTTATAGTCTGTTGCAGAATGAACAAAGTGCTTACTTTTTATCATTATTTTTCTTCACCTTAAACTTTGTGATATCATAATTTACTTCTGCATTGAGAAGTCTGTGATTGGACAGCCACAGAGAGCTTGGGCTGGGGAAGAAGGGGGATATGGGCAAAGGCTACAGACTAGATATCTGCAGATTTTGCAAGCTGTCTTTAGATATGACAATGAAAAATGCTTTGTTAAATGAATGCTTGTTTTCATTTGGAGTATATCTGCTAAACAGTGATTAAAATTATTATTTTTTTTTTGCAATGGAGTGTCCCTTTAAAGAAACACTCCAAAGTAAGAAATAAATACACTTCTAACTTCTAAAATCATACTCGGTGCGTGACCGGAAGCCATGCTGATCGGATGCATCTGTGAGAGCTCTGCAACACGGCACCCGGAAAATGAGCTTTCCAACGGCTAAACCTGATTGCAAGACTCACTGCTTCATGATGTCTCAGAGCAAGTCCAAACACCCGCAAGACCGAGCAGACAAAACAAATATCTTCAGCCGAAAAGCGGCAAAAACCACCACTCTGGAAATCCAGGATGACACAGACGGGCTTTCGGCCGCGAGCCCAACACAGGATCCTGAACCCGCCACAGAAATGGACCCCCTGACACGCGGCATGTTTCAATCCTACCTAGATGCCCTATACGCCAAACTCATCACCACTTGGCAAACAGGCATGGGCACCCTGTGTAGAGATGTTCAGGACTTGGGCACTAAAACTTCACATATAGAGGGAAAAATGAGCGAATACACTGAAGCCCATAACTCAATGGCAGACTCCATGCAACAAGTGGAAACAAAGATGGAGGCATATGAAGCATGACTTGCAGCCATGGAAGATAGAACCTGCCGGAAAAACCTCCGCTTACGCTACGTTACGGAAGCCATTAAACCGCAAGATCTCCATGAATATGCTGTGGGCCTGTTCCACAACCTAGCTCCAGATTTGCCGTAAGACCTACTACTTCAGGACAGATACACAGGCTCCCTCGCCCGCGTCATTTGCCTGACACAGTGCCAAGAGATGTCATCCTAAGAGCTTACTACATCCACGCCAAAGAGCTCATCCTAAAAACCAGCTGCACCAAAAAAGATCTGCCAGCGGAATATTCCTCCTTCAAGATCTTCTCGCATCTGTCTGCTGCCAGGCCAGGAAGACCTACCAGCCAGTGACAGAGGTCCTCCATGAAAACATCATCATGTACCGCTGGGGCTTCCCTACCAAACTCCTGATCAACAGGAATGGGACTTACACCATGGCAAAGTCCCCTGAGGATGGCCTCCGGATCCTCCAACAATGGAGCCTATCTACCGACTCTTTCACCGACAAGGTCCCACCCTGGAAAGCTTAGACCGGACTGGCAGAAGGCACCGGAAAAATGCAAAGCTCAAGCTTAAC